TGGCTGAAAGCACGTGGCCTGGACAATCGCATCACCTGGCTCGGGTTTCTGGAGTGCCACCGGCTGCCCCTCTCAGGTCTGTCAGTGGAGCATCTTCCTTTGCTAGGTGCACATAGAGGGTCTGCTGGTTTCTTCAGGCTGAAGCTACAGCCCTTGGCGAAGTACATGCTGACTCAGCCTTCCCATTTTGGAGTAGGCTGCATGAGGACTGGGTTGCTTGCCCAGCAGCTATCTGCTCATGACTATGTGTGTTATCACGTGGACTTTAGCGACCCGTGCTCAGGCTATCCTCGGCGAAACAAGTTGACTTGGAAGCAATGGACTAATGCAGGTTCTTCGTCGCCTGGGCGTTATTCCAAGGTAGCAAGGCACTTGCAAGGCCTCTGGATGGCCGATTCCGTCTCTGTTCGGGATGTCTCAAATGGCGCGTTGCATGCTAGGGTGCTCTGTGGTGTGCAGACTTGTGGTCCTGCTGAGGGCTTGGCATGTTGCACACGTCTGATTACATGGTGCATGTACCGAGCGGTTCCAGCCCATCTGTACGTTCTATTCAGCACCAACGTAGTCTGTGATGTTATCCCCGTTGGCCATCTCCGTCTTCCAGCTGTTACAGGTGTGCGCCTTGCATCACATACCTTTACCACTGGTGGATCTCGGTCTGTGCACAGGTCTATTGGAACATTGTGCGCCTCTTCTGTTGGCGCCTTACTCTGGCACTCCTCAGACTCTCATTCCATCGGTTGGCTCAGGTTTGAGGAGTCCTCGCCTGGAGCCCAGCTGCCTACACCTGTGATCATGGTGCCTGATTCTTGGTCGGAGGTGTCCTCGGCCTGTGTCTGGCCCTTATCTACTTTTCCACCGAGCCTGGACTGCTCCCATGCCTTGTGGGCAGGCTGTTGTTGGGCCAATCTCCCTCTCTCATGGCCGTCTGGGTCCTGTCGGCCAGACTGTTTTGTGCCGAAGACCAGGCGGGCTTTTGTTGAGGGTTGGCTGGGTGCTCGGAAGTGTCCTGCCCTGGGTGCCTGTAGTGCATGTTCTCCTCTGCATCTTAGGGAAGGATCATCGCTGCCTTTTGCTTCGAGCCTCTGTTATTGCTGTTGTCCAGACACTTGGCGAGCATTAGCATGGTGGACAAGCCTTGCACAATGGGTCCCGAAAGTGAGCAGGGTCGGATGGTCGAGGCAGCCTCCCCCACGGATATGGAGGTGGACCATGTGGGCGCCTGTACGGACCTTATGCTACCGGTTTTTCGAGGTTGGAAACAGCTCGTCATTGATAAAGAGGCGGCACCCCTGGCAGATGCTGATGGAACAGGGTGCACTGCTATCGATGCAGCCCGCAGTCGCAGCCCTCACCGTGTCTCTGGATCACTATGTCCTCGCATGCGTTCCAGTGTGGTCACCTTGCCTTCAGAGATCGCGGTGCATGATGTGCCTGCCTCTTCCTCGGGTGGCGTTTGCACGCTTGAACCATCCCAATCGGAGACTGGGAATGTTACCGTGTATCTTACCCTCAGGCTGTTGGACTCTGCGTAAGGCCTATCTGTGCTCTGAGATGCTGGCCGGGGATTCTTGGTTTTTACATACCACAGCTGGAAGTCGGCGTGGCTGCTGTGCTTGGCACTGCTGTTGCTGTTACAAAAGCGCCACATTACCTTCCTTTGCCTGCATCAGTGCCCCGATGAGGGGGCTATTCTGCAGCCCTCCTTGCTGCCTATCTGTGGTCAGGCGCTACACCGTACCTCTGGGTCTGGACAGGACTCCATCGTCTGTGGCGGAGCGCACTGAACTACTCTGTTCTCTTCCTGTCGGGCCCCTGTCTTCTCGGCTGATGGCCTGTATCTGTGTCAATGATAGAATCAGTTGCACTGCGCTGATTGCATCTGCAGCTTACCTGCAATTGTCATCTGTGTTCGGCGTACACCTACAGGGCTCGAGGCAGGAAAGTCGGAGGATCCCTGCCTTCTCGGGTCGATCTGACTCCTTGGGGCTCTCTCGACGCATGGGCAAAGCCAAGCGACTGGCCAGACAGAAGCAGAGACCTGGTCAGCTGAATAGGGTCTACACTGCGGATGGAGCGACGGGGAGTAATGTCACGAGTGGACATGTGACTGCCACTCTAACACCGGCTGCGCAGATTTCGGCTGATGGGAAGCTCCTGCCCAAGCCAAAGAAGAGGCCGAGAACTACGGACCCGTCGCAGATCTCTGCTGATGGGAAGCTTCTGCCCAAGCCGAAGAAGATGCCCAAAGCGACGGTCCCGGCTCCTTTTCTATGGGCCCCGCCGGATCCCAGAGGCAGGTCTCCCCTCCCGAGGCGTCGTGTCACTCGGCCAGCTCCAATGACGCTTTCTATCGCACCCCTCGACCGTTGACGGTCTATTCTGTTCCTCCGTCTTGGGGGGCTGTCGAAGCGGAGGCCACACCCATGACTTGTGAGGAGCCCACTTCTACGAACGCTGGTACTACTGCAGGGGATCCTGACCCTCCGGTAGCCAATCACGAGCCTCAGCCGGTCCTGGTCGTTTGTGAGCCGTCAACACCGCCACCTGGCTGGCTTGCCTCCAAGTCGTGGACTAGTCGAAAGCCTATGTCAGATGCCTCCCAGCTTGAGCACAATATCAAATGTCAGGATGCTGGAGATGCTGTGTCTGAGGCCCCTGCCTCTGTGAGGGATGCTGCTCTGGATACTGCTAAGCATGGTGCGGAGGGTAAATCTGCAGTGGCGGATAAGGGGCGGATCTCTGCTTCTGCCAAGAACAGGGTGGAACCGGCTGGTCTGGGACCATCTCCTCCCTTAAAGAGGAAACGTGCCCTGAGGAAGCATGCCTTGACAAGACTGTTGGCCAATCCGCCTCCTCACCGACCACGACAAGCTCGTTCCCCTGAGCGCCCACGTCGACCCAGCATCTGGTTTGTTGAGGAGGAGGTGAGTACGTCTGCTGCACTGTCTTCGATGGTGGAGTCGCATCCTTCTTCTTCCTTCTCTGCTCCTGATCGTCGACCTCAGCCCAAGGACCAGACGCACGACTCCGGTGTGCCCTCTACTACAGTTAACCATGAAATGGTGGAGGTTGAGGTGGAGCCTGAGCCGGCCTGTGTCTCTGTCTCACCTGTTGCTGCCGCAGCTCCGGGTGATCTGATTTTCCGCATGTTGCACTCGGACAGTGCTCGCCAGAACTCGACGGCTTACATGGCGCCTTGCTTGATTGATTCTGCAGGGAGATGCTTCTGTGTACATGTCACTTATGCTTCCTCAGCATATGCTCTCAGGTCTGGCCGCTTCTGTGACTGGCCCGGCTCCACTTCCTTTTGGGATGTGAGGATTATCAGTCAGGTTGCCTGCATGGCTCTGTACAGGTCCGACTTGGAGGTATGGCTTTGCGCCAAGCTGGTGTCTCAGTCTTGGTGCCGAGTAGGCTGTAACAAGTTTGCTCTTCACAGCTGTTCTGCCGCTATCCGCTGGATGTCATTGCTCTGTGTAGACTCTACTGCGTCCCTTTTATTCCATGCTGGTCCCTTCGTTGCCGGGCAGAGCATCTTGGTGTCTTCCTACTGGTTGGGCCCTGGATCATGTCCACCTCGGATCCGACATCGGATCTTTCTGTTGGCGCGATGTCTGAGAGGGCTGACCGAGCAGGGGACGAGGTCCGACAGGCACTGTCCGCTGGCGAGGGCTTGGGGGTTTCCACAAGGAATGCAAAGCGAGCTCGGAGTCGACTGGCTGATGTGGCGGACCTCTTCAGGGCGGAGGATGGTGCTGCCCTCTCTCTCCCGGGTCGTGATCTGGAGGGTGTGTGCACGGATGCTGAGGGAGGAACGAATCCACCCATGGCTGGCAGTGCCGTGGCATCGACCGTTGCTGAGTCGTCTGCCTCGCCACGAAGCACCCAGTGCCGTCGACTGGACAAGGCCACTATGCGGCAGCTTGCGGGCATGTCGGTGGCGGAGCTTCTACGACGGGCTGCTTCCACGCTTGATAGGGACCAGAACGCTGGCTCGGAATCTGGGGATTCCACATAGAGTGATGCGACTACCATTTCTCCTTGGAGATATTGTTTCTTCCTCGCTCTGTGGCCCCGGGACCTCTGCTGATGTGGAGAGGTTTTTCTCTCGATATGAGGGTCTTCCGCCGTGTACATGTGGATCCTCGTGCCCCAGCGCTCTCACGAATAAAATAACGCGAGTGCGGAGATGCCTTGGGCTACAACTTCGTGTCTCGAAGTTTCGGGTACGGTCTAGGTCTTTGAGGCATCGGCACAGGAAGAGAATGTCATCTTTGAAGTGGGTCCCCCCTATGTTTCTGGCCCTGGCCCGGTGCTTCTCTGTTGAGCTTTTTCGGCGGCTCTGCTCTCGCTTATTGTTGCTCTCTCTGAGGGCGCTGTTGGAGTCAGTGGCCATCGATCAGGCTGGCGTCTTCCTTCGATATCCTTTTGATGTTCGGTGCATGCCGAATCTTTTCATGCTCGCCACACAACGTGGTCTCTTCGCTGGTGAGAGGTGCTCTCTCCCATGGACCGCCAGGTGGTTCATTGCCATACAGGACTCCACTGCATCCTTTTATGAATCACTTTTTCATGTCGCTGGACCCGGTCCCAAATCCGGGCAGGGAGCTGCAAATAGAAGTCTCGCACTGGCCTCAGCTCACAACCTTACTCCTGGTACCGGCCAGTATGTGTCTTCACAGGACAGCTCTCTTGAGCCGAGGGTTGGGTGCTCCACACACCCTGAATCCATTCATTTGCCTGCCTTGTCGAGGTGTGGAACTAGACATCTCTGTCTTGAATGGGTGGAAAAGCTCGGACGATTTTACCACGGTGCTGCCTCTAGAGGCCGCCTCCTGAACTCTAGTCATTTCGCTTGCAATCTCAGTACAACGATGGACCATGGGACAAACCCCAGGTGTGGTGCCTTGTTTGAGCAGTTGCTCCCTGCATCCGCTACTTCGGAACGTTCCGATACCACGTGTCCTGCTCTTTCTGCCAGCAAGACTACAGGCTCGATGCCCAGGTGCTCCTTCTCCTTGCCTTGTAGGAGCCTCCTCTTTTGGGCGAGCACTCTTGCCAGTTTCCCGACTCTTGAGGCCCACACGGAGCCTCGTAAACGAGCCTTCAATCGTGCCTGCCGACGCGCGGCTGCCAGTCCACTTCTTGGTACTAACTATCGTGGTCGATGGTGTAGTGTTAAGGATCTACTTGGCAAACGTCGGACGCCCCCGGCGCAGGTGCGGGCATCGCGTCATACTCTGCCGATTCAGTCCAACGATAGTGCACGTCTCAAACTTGTCACTTACAATGTTGGTGGCTTGTCACAGGTGGCGTATGCGGAACTTCTTCAGTTTCTGCAGGGACTCCCAGAGCCACATCGTCCCGATCTGGTCCTCTTACAGGAGACTCATTGGAAGGAGGACTCTGAGTTCGACACCCCTGGTTGGCGTGTTATTAGCTCCAGCACTAAATCGCCCCAAGCTGGTGGAGTTGCTGTCTTGATCTCACAATCTCTTTGTGATGCTGGGGACATATTGCATACCTCCCCTGTTCCAGGAAGGGTGCAACATGTTAGACTGACTCTTGATGGTGCCATTGTTGATGTTGTCAACATCTACCAGAAAATTATGACGACCTCCCTTGCTCCGGCAGAGAAAGGTTCTGTTCCGGGCACTACGGCGCGCACTATTCGGCGCGAGGTGTGGTCTTCCATTCAGCGTCTTCTTCGGTCTCTTCCGAGCCGACATGTTGTCATCATGGCAGGTGATTTTAATACGCCTCTGCTGCCAATGGCCAAGCGGGTTGGTGCTCGAGCGTCCTTTTGTCATGCTACTCGTCCTCAGGATGTGAACGAGTTAGCTGACATCATTGCCGATCATGATCTTCTTCATCTCAACTCGTGGACCAGGTTTGCGAAGCCTACATACCGTAATGGATCGCACTTCTCACTTATTGATCACATCTTTGTACGTCACTCTTTGGGAGATGCGGTTTCTCGGCGGGCAGGGCCGGTCACATGGCCCCTCTTCAAGTGGAGGCAAGGTGGCTTCCATCTCCCGGTCTGTGTCAGCTGTCGCTTGCCAGATGTTCGTCAACTTGCTAGATCTCGTGGCCCCAGATCTTGTGTTCTTGATCGGGTTACACTCGCTCAGGTTTGTCGGAATCCACAGCACCCTCAGATTTGTGAACTAAATGAGAAGGTCTCCGGCTGGCTACGGTCACATTCTGATGCGACGGTTGAAGAGGTAAACCGTCAGCTCTATGCGTGTGCGATGGAGGTTTTCCCTGGCAAAGTACAGCATCAACGTGTTGTTCCATGGCAGGCACCACAGGTTGGGCTGTCGGTGCGCAGCATGTGGCTAGCCTATCATACCTGGAGACAAACCTCCAGTTTGCATCGGAACTGTGTTTGGAAGGCCTGGGTGGCTTTCTCGAGGTTTCGGAAGGCGCATCGTGCTTTCCGTCGCGCCACTAGGGACGCCAAAGTTGCCTGGCTGCGTACTCAGGTGGCTTGCATGGAGCAAAGCGCGCGCAAAGGCGACACTCGCGCTCTTTTTCAGTTGGCCAGTCGTATTTGTCCGAAGCAGCGACGCAAAACTTTGCAATTACGTGGTGCCCAGGGACAAATTCTCTCGCATCCAGAGCAAGTTGAGGTGCTCAGGTCCTTTTATACCGATCTCTACACGTCGGGGCATCAGGATTCACCGTCTCTGTCTGATCCTCTGCGCTCTGACTGCTGTGATGGTCTCTTCGCTTGTCTGAATCCTGAATTGGTGACTCCTGCCTTACGGCGTCTCTCGCCGCACAAGGCTGCGCCAGCGCATCTTGCCCACACTTCGATCTGGGTGGCCTGCTCAGCCCAACTGGGTCCCTGGTTGGCAAATACCCTCCGAAAGGCGACTAGCATTCCACAGCTCTGGAAGGACACGTGGCTGTCTCTTTTACCCAAGGTTTCGGCGCCCACTCTGCCTCGTCAGCTGCGTCCTCTTGGCATTTCTGAGATATCCGGACGTGTTGTCTGTGGTTTAATCCAACATCAGCTCAGGCCACATGTGATGGCGTTTCTCAGCCAACATCCTCAGTATGCGTATCTCGTGGATCGAGCCACGGACCAGGCACTGATACGCGTGCTCCTTCATTGTAAGGAGGGGCAAGGGATGTGCGAGGCCGCACCATATAATATACAAAATGTCAGGTGGGCGACTGATCCCACAGTGACTGGCTCTGAGAAGGATCGTCGCTCCAGCAAGCTCAGAGGAGGTGCGATTCAACTGTCGCTTGACCTCTCGCAGGCGTTTGATCGCTTGGAGTGGCCGCTCATCAGTGACTCGTTGAAGGAGGCTGGCGTGCCCAGCGACCTTTACCATCTCATCATAAGCCGCTGGCACCGGGAGATGTATTACCACATTAAAGTCTCTGCGTCCTCTGCACGTGTGTCGGTTGGCAGGGGAGTGCGGCAAGGATGCCGCATCGCTCCGATGTTGTGGGCGCTAGCCAC